TCTGAAGTTAATACAAGAATAAAACAAATAGTAAAGAAAACACACAACAAGTTGTATAAAGAACAGAGTGAAAAGTAAAAAGCAAAAATCATTCAAAGAGCCTCTCATAAAAAATTATTCTTACAAGCAAAACAAATGAGATATTAAAATTTAATAAAGAACTTCAGGACATCATTAATAGTGCATAAATAAAAATTATGTTTCAGAAAACTCAAAAATTTCTGACAGTGAGGGAAGCAGTACTCCAACTCTGTCTGAAAAGTTCACAAGAGAGCAAGAAACAGTTGCTACATAGCTAAGAGATCATTAAATGTGGATACAGAAAACTTCTTAATACAGTGCCTCATCTATTTGCAGAGGAAACCAATTCTCCTTTTTGGAATATTATTTTTCCCTTGATGTCCTTCCTCATTAATGAATAAATGTGAATAATCTTTTATCTGGTAACTCAATATGACATTAACTGTATTTACCAATTTATACTCATTTTATGTGGCATTTCATTCCTAGTATTCTATTATCATGGCATTTTTGTGTTCAACTTAGAAATTCAAAAATGCTGGAATCATTAGCAAAATACTTATTGATCCATCTTGTTTGCATCAAGGCTTCTGAAACAAAATTAAACTTAAATAACCTATTGTTTATTTTCTGGAGTGGAAGTGAAAGATTAAAATCTTAATTTCAATAGATTAATAGTAGATGTTCCATATGAGAATATCTTTAACATTTTTCTTTCATTTACATGATAGATTATAAACATATGGTGTGCTCTTGAAAAGTTCTCTGCAGTTAAATGTATATTACTTTCCAAAAGAAAAAAAAAAGATCAGCAAGATTTCTAAGATGGTGGTTCAAGAGCTAGGAAAGTAATCTACGCAACTCAATTCAGTCCCTTCTGTCAACATGTTGTGCTGATAGTGATATTAAGATTTTCTGAATGTATACTATTTTTCTACATAATCCATTTTTTCTAGGAATCACACTAGCCAGTGTTCTTCACACACAAGAACATTGTAAGTTTTAAACATTTATTAGTATTATCATTAGTATTTGGCCTCAAATCAGTCAGTCAAGAGATTGTTTTTCTTCACTAAACATACTTTTTTAAAGTGCTGCAAAAACCAATAAAAGCATTTTTACTCAGGTAACAGTTTCATTTACTAAGTAGCCAAAGATCATCATTACCAACTGTACTCATAACACACACTCTGCAGAAGGGAAAGAGCCTATGAAAAATAGTATCCATTAATGTAAAAAAAAAAATAAATCAAGATTGTAACTACATGACATGGCTGAACAAGACACTCCAAAAAATCAAGTTTTCATCCACTGATTGGGTCAAATGCTATACGTTTGATGGAGTTAACTACTTGCTGACACCCATACTGACACCCCTCCAGGTTCACAATGGGTTTCAGAGAGAAATTACTTGCGATAGAGTAAGAGATGACATGAATCAGACCTGATATATTCTATATTTCCACCTGTCAGATTTCATTCCTTCATTCCCATCTCAGTTATTCACCTTAACTGCCTCATGTTCCCTACTTTCCAATCTACCATTACAAGATTAGAAAAGAAGTCTTCAGAGTTATACTTGCAGTCTCTTCTGAGCAACACAAACTGGTATTGCATGTAGCCTGAGTGGCAAAATTTGAGGAACACTTTACAGAGCTAACAGAAGACATGTTTGATAAAAATTTTTCACAATTCAAGTGCTCAAAGCTATGTAGACATGAGCAAAAACAGACTTTGTGTTCTTTTTTAAAACAGGCAAAATAAGTTGACACCCAACATGTGAAAGAAAAGCATCAAAAACTCAACAAAATTTGCAGCCTAAAGAGCTAACTTTTGGCAAAGTTATAACAACATGGACTTATAACGAAAGCCAGATCACTTTAATATGCAGTAATGGCAGCTCCACCTATAATATATCCCATAAAAGACTTTCTTTGAAGATTAAGTAGGCATTCTCATTGAGCGAGTCTGCACACATTTACAGCAGCTGAGAATTTGACATATAGGTATTATCAGAGAAAAGTAAGTCACAGCTTTTTTCATAGCACCAAATAAGAGACAGTAAGAGTAAAATCAATTGCATTCATAAATAATATTAACCATTTTTTTTTCCTTTTTTATTGTGGTAGGATGGATTTTAATGTGGCCTTCACCCAGTGCTAGGTGCAAAACTATATTTTTTAAAAAATTGTTAATTTATATTTTCTTCAGGTACTTGCAGATGGGGGAAAAAAAAGTTAGAAACAATACTTGGCTAGGGCAAAATTAACTCTATCTGTAACTCAAAAAGAAAGTAAACAAAATCCAAACCTCCACAGTAATGCAGATAAATTTATCACTTTAGAAGGTGATTCCATAAATATTTGTAAATGGTAACAAGTCTATATAAGTGTACACAAGTAAATAGGTGCATATACTGTATGCTATATAGCATAAATAACAGTGTGCAGAACAGCAGTTTACTGCAAAATAAATATTTCACTTACTAAACCAACCCCAAACGATCAAATTTTTCTTCAGATTAGCTCAAATCTTTTCTCCCCTCAATGTGGCCTTCTCTGTAAATATATTTTTATTTCAGCTTACAATAAAAACACTTATTAAAATCAGATGTTTACATAGAGTACCAAATATTTTATGCCTTTGAAAGTTATCTGGATATTTTTATCTGACAACTACTTCCACTTTAAGCTAGCATTTTGCATCCAATATTTAAAAGAAATTCATCCATAAGGAGGAAAAACAATTGCCAAACTAGAAATATTCTGGAGAGAAGCACAGTAAGCTTTACAGATCCTACTTTACAGTGTTCTCCTGCAGCTCAACAGGTGACAGAACACATCTGCTTTGCATAACACATCCCAGTAAAAATCACTACAGAAACACCATTTCTAAGATCTTTACAATACCCATAACTATCATAGAATCCACGCAAGTCAGTAACCACTTAAACAGCACTTGGTGCTTTCTATAAAAACATACTTGTGGAATTATAGCCATGCTTTCTCCAAAGAACCGCTTCTTCTGCTAAATATGGATGGACTTCATTACCAAAGTGTTTACAGCAGTACAAATGAAGAGCATTTCAGAATGCAGGCCTGCGTTCCAAACTACTTAGTATGTACGTAGACCATACTTTGTGTTCTGCTTTAATTTTCCTCTTCAATGCTTTGAAAAGCCCATACTCTAGTCACACACAAACACTGAACTTAGTCATCTGCAACACATGCCAGCTGAAACTGTAGTTCTAATGAAGGCCTCTGATGCCTGCTTGTTTTGTTTTTAGCACATTGGGTTATCTATTGGCTGATCTCTTTCCCTCAGGTACTATCACACAACAACTCAGGCTTCTCCATCAGGAAATTTCTCTTTCTTTGACAGAGCATTTGTTTGGATGGAGAAAGAGAAGAACACAAGATTCTCTTTTGTCAATTTAAGTGGCCCACATGAATATTTAACCTAAAATATGGCAGCCACTTAGATTTCCTTAAATTCTGTGTGAAAATTTCTGCCATGTACAACTTATTTTCAAGTTAAGAACAATCAGTCAGTCATTTTCAGTTAATTTTATATACAATTTATTTACTATCAAGTATTTTTCATTAAAAAAAATGTACTGCTAGTATTAAAATCCCCATGCAATGTTTACTTATAACTTCTGTCTACTTCTGTTTATGCCACAGAATTAAACAATCATGATTTCTGCTCTGCTTAGAGACTTGCACCACTGAACCTCAAAAAATGTGAGTTGAGTAACTGTTTATAGAGAAACCATCACGTATAGTTTGGAACTGCAGAGATGTGTTGTGGGACAGCAAGACAGCAGCAGTACTGTTACTTTTACACCTATCCCAGTTCATACTATCTTTTGCAATGCACAGGTGTGTAGCTGCCCTATCCTGCCCATCCATCCAGATAAAGATCTTATCCCAGCACCCTACCATAACCATTTGAGTTTCAATACTTTTTCTATTGCCTGCAGCAGGTTGCTAGCACAGTAAAACAGTATGTGACAGGGAATGTATCCATGACTACTAGTTGTAGAAGTCATATTCAAGCATGAAAACGTCACTGCACACCCAACGTGGAAATAAAATCTTGTACAGTGGTGAAGTGTTGTTTTTTTCTTTTAAGAAAAAAAGGGAGAACATCCCAATATTGAGTTCAGAAAAGTGGAATAGTGATGATAAAAATGAGAGATAGAACAAGAATTTTAAACATGGTTTAGCATTATACAGAATAACAGTAATAAATATCTCCTCTATTGCCTGAAATTTTAATTGTGAATTAATTACCAATCACATCACCAAAATTTAGTCATGCATTTCAAACCCAAGAAGGTTAGAGCCTCTATCTTGTCAAGTACATATTCAGATTCATTTCTTTTACCCCAAGTTTTAAATTGTACATTTAATATATGCTGTGGGTTTTTTGACCCCTATTTCAAAAAATCAGTGAGATTATTATTATATTTTCCTGACTGTGTTTTTCATTTTTAGTATGCATAAGCTTTATATTCACTATATATATAAACACACTATAAACTTAGAACTATTATTGCTGGTATAACATCAGGAATTAGATTCTTAAATATCACTTTCTCCTGAAATCATGGTAATTCACATTTATTTCTTTCATTTATAAAATCCTTTACAATAATGTAAGTGCTCATTTAAGTATTACATATGTGGAGTCAATTTCAAGCATCATATCTATATAATTTTATATATAAAGTGGATAAAGCAAAGTTTAAAATACATATATATGTGTATATGTTCAAAACAATTAATTAAGCAAAAAAATCATTCTTCAACAGACAGCATTAGAAAGCACCCTACATTTTTTTTCTTCTATTTCTATATAGCATATATATGTGGTAAAATTTTCGAACAACAACAACAAAAAAACTCAGCTGTATGCAAAAATCTTTTTTGTAAAAGCCAGCCTAGAAAATATCTGAAATTAAATGGATTACTCACTTGTTTGGTCTTTGTTTTTGTAATGGTGTCCGAAATAGGTTTCTTCCTCTCTTTAACAGCTGTTTTAGAAAATAGTTCTTCAAATTCATGATAATCTATGGAAGGCTCTTCAATTTTTTCCCACACAAGTGAAGCACTAGAATCTCTAAAGTTAAGCAAAAGACCTATGTAGGGCAGTGTCAAACTAAAATCATAAATGGCGGAATGAAGAAAATAAGATAGCAGCAGTTTACAAGTTGTTGCCTAACTTTTACCAGCAGCATTTTGATAAGATATGTTATTCACTCTCCCCAATACCTTTTTTCTTTATTCACACAGGAAATTTGTCAGACTTGTTTATACTTTCCACTTCACATACACAGGAATATAAATAGGTTATAAAATACACAGGCATGCACACAAAGAGAAGTAAAAATATACAGCTATCTGCAGACCACGTGTTTGACAGTGGCAAGAAGAAACTGAAGACAGAAGATGTTAAAAAGAAGAAGAAATAGTTGAAAAATTGTCTGTACTCCGAGAGAAAGAAAACAGTTTTTTCATGATGAAGAGTTATACTTTACAAACAAATGAAAACCATCAACAACCAAACCTGAGTATTTCAGTATCACATCAACTGATAAGAGCTACAAGATAAGAGCTACATTTACACAGCCATGCTACAAAAAACAAAAACAAAAAACCAAAAACAAAAAACCAAAAACAAAAAACCAAAAACAAAAACCAAAAACAAAAACCAAAAACAAAAACCAAAAACAAAAACCAAAAACAAAAACCAAAAACAAAAACCAAAAACAAAAAAACACCCACCACAACCTGTGGTTTGACTCTGTCTGCTAGGTGTACAAAGTGAAGAAAGGTTTCTAGGTCACAAGACAAAGAAAAGAGAAAAATAGGAATTGTTCGATATACATCCATCTGGAGGAAAGACACTAGCAAAGTTCATTCACTCTTGCTCATGAGAAAGATCAACTCTATCTTGAAAGCTGAGTGGGAAAATCACAAATACAATGCTAAAAAAATAATTAATGGAAAGGTTAGTGGCATACAACCACCCTAGGACTTCTGATTAAGATATGATATGCAACTCCACAGGACAGCTGAAAACACTGCCCTCAGTGAGTTTTCTGGAGTAAATAATATTACTCAGAATTTGTGTGCTTATAAATGGAATAGACACTCTATTTAATTACCCAACTTGCTCTAAGTCTCTCTTAAAGATCTGCATAGCAGTAAATAAATCTTTTTGCTCATAACATGATGCTATGAAGACAGCAAAAACACACTTCACAACTATATAGCTTACCTTTTACTGTGGAGCTGAATTCTTGTCCAATAAAGAGGCTTCATTGGTCGAGAAGGCTCTATCACATGCTTCCTGCTCCCTTTCTCCTGATTCATACCCATTGCAAATAAACCAGATGGTAATGGTGGAGGAAGAAATCCACCAACTTGTGGAACTGCTGTATAGGCACTGCCTTGAGCTGGTGGTGGAAGGGGTGCCGCTTCTCCAGGCAAAGGTGGTGGGGCTGCAGGTGGCACCCCCCACCCAGGTAGAGGAGGTGGTGGAGGGGGGACTCCTGCACCAGGTAGAGGTGGTGGCGGAGGAGGGACTCCTGCACCAGGTAGAGGTGGTGGCGGAGGAGGGACTCCTGCACCAGGTAGAGGAGGTGGCGGAGGAGGTGGCGGAGGAGGGACTCCTGCACCAGGTAGAGGAGGTGGCGGAGGAGGCAGGACTCCTGCACTGGGTAGAGGTGGTGGCGGAGGAGGTTGTGGTAAAGGGGCACCTGCACCAGGTAGAGGAGGTGGTGGTGGAGGAGGAAATGGTGGGATGGCCCCTCCAGGCAGAGGTGGAGGAAGTGGTGGCACTCCCACTCCAGATAGAGTTGGTGCTGTGGGTGGAGGTGGCATTCCCAGGCAAGGCAGAGGAGGAGGTGGGGGAGGGATACCAGCTGCAGATAAAGGTGGCGGTGGTGCGATGCCCCAACCAGAAGGAGGAAGTGGGACTCCTGCTCCTGGCAGAGGTGGTGGTTGAGGTGGTGGTGGAACTCCAGTGCATGGGAGAGAGAGAGCTGAAGACAACACTGGTATCTCCCCACTTGGCAAAGGAGGAGGAGGAGGAGGTGGTGGTTGTAGCAACAGCTGCTGGGGTGCTATCGTTACACCAGGCAAAGAGTGGTCCAGGTGTGGCATTGCTGGGCCAGCAAAAGGCAGAGGGAGTCCTGAGCTAGGCAAGGGTGGTGGGAGTGGCACTCCTGCCACGGGTATGGGAGCAGTGACAGAAGAGCCACGTTCCCCAGGTACAGGAGCAGCAAGTTCAGTGGCCGATAGTGATGAAGGGATGCTACATGTGGGCTCTGGGGGTAAAGAAAGGAAATGTTCACTACAAGTCACATTTGTAATACCTGTTGATTGATGAGGAGCAGAAAATTCAGTCTCGCCTTCAATTGCAAGGGACAAATTAGCTTTGGGTCCTGGAAGAGGTGAATGTAAAGCAGTCTGTACTGATTGGCTTGAATCCAGCGGCACCGAGATTAACTTCGGTGACAGAATTAAGGAGATTTCAGAACAAAATGTAGGCTGTAATTCTAGAGCTGGCAATTTCTCAGATGGCTCTTCACCTTTGCCACTTTCCAAGTTCAGTGGTGAAGGAGGCAGTGGCAGTGCATTGGCTGAAGGCATTCTGTGTAGTGAATAATCTTCTGTTGGTGACGTTTGTACAGATCTTGCTTGTGACACAGTTCTGGGCACAGCCTCCGTTTGAAGTGTCACACTACTGAATTCCCTGGAGGCAGTATGCACATGCTCGTGTTCCTGCTCCCTCTCAGTAGTCTGTATTTCTGTAGCAGGGAACTGTTTCTCTAGTTCTGCAATTTTAGTCCTCAGATCCTCAATAGTTTGCTCAAGCTGCTGGATGACACTGGCACGCTCCTCAGATTTCACTTCCAAATCATCCTTTAAGAGAAAAGGAACATATAATAAACACAAACAAGATAATATTTGTTACTATTACACATAAAAGATTTTGACAAATAATATTGGTATTCCAGAGCTTCAGAGTTGACAAGCCTTTAAAAACAAGTATCATTTTGAATAGATCTATCTTACAGCGGAAGAAAACGGTTTAGGAAAATGACTTGCTTCATTATGAAACTACCTTCATCAGCATGAGTGTTTCACGCTGATTACAGTTGGCAAAAGCAAAATTCCAGAAACATCTCTCTCCCCCTCATACCCTAACCAAGAAAACAATCAACCATTGAGTACAATTGCTTTAAGTGCGTGTGTACACATTGATACACACCTATTATGGTGGGAAGGGCACTGCAACACTTTGTTATCTGGAAATATGTTAAGCATTTTTTCAAAGTATTGGAACTGTGCATAACAGACTCAAATACTTCCGACTGCTGGATTTCAATATATACACATTAATGATAAAAATAATGAACGCAGAACATACTTAATGTTTACTTCTTCAAAGAAACTAATCTCAAAATGGAGAGTAATAATGCTTCTTTCCATTCAGATGCTTAGGAAAGAAAGAAGACAAAATTAGGAGATAACTTTCCACCCACCTAAAATTTGACTCTCCTCTGCCAAGCTACAAAATGTGAATGAGTGAAATTAGAAAAGCTTCTTGTATGGAATGGTTATTCTGCAATTGACTGCTTTCACATTTTTAATCTCTTTTTCTCAAACATTTGATCCTGCCTTCAGTTCATTGAGTGGAGAAATGATGAACCTTAAACAGCATAGTAATTTTTGCATTCTTAAATATCAGAAAACAAACTACTAAATGCAATGGGTATGTGCTTTATCAAAAGGTAGCAAAAGAATAAACAGTCCCAAAACAGTCATTGGTGCTTATGCAGAAATGTTGAACAGTATATATAGAACAGAAGTAATGTTACAATACAAAGTCTTGTAAGATTTTTTTTTCCTAGTTATATCTATTTACTTTTTCGTATTCTTTGCTGTTACTAGTTTCTAATTTGCAATATTAGTCACCAGCATCAGCACTTCAAGCACTTGGATTAAGTTTGTCACACAACAGCTTTTGCAAGTGGTTATGGCTAAACTGTTCAATGCCTTTTTCTGCTTTCATGAAAGCAAACTTCATGAGGAGACTGCAGGCTTATTTCGCAGGTAATCTTTCAAATATTCAGATTTCACAGGTCTTGAAAAGAAGCCTACAAATAAGCATACAATACCTGATTAACTAATTGCCTTGATTTGTTTCAAGAAGATGATGTTTTTCATCTAATCCTTTGACATACATAAAAAAGCCAATATTCTTTCTGGAAAATGAAGTTGTAACTTCCAGATGGTGACTATTAATAAAATATATGTTCATTAATACTTACAAAGTTGTTTCTGCACAAAATTGTTTTTTAAACATAAGATTACAAATTCACGTTTGTCTTAGCTTTCTAGCTGTTCTAAAACAATCTCAAAATTAAAAAGCAGCAGCTTCTACACTTAAACCAAATATCGTGCAATTTTGAATCTCCTTCATCAAAACTAATTCTTCTATATTGTCTGAATGTTCTGGAATTGCAGTTTGATCTGAAAGTCATGTGTTTCAACTTGTTCTCCCAACCAAACTTTGAATAGAAATGTAAAAACAGAACATAAAAGATTTCTGATGAATAGTGAAGGAATTAACATAGACATATTAACAAACAATATTATAATAAGGAAAAAAGGTTAAAGATATTTTCTTTACAGACTGCTCAAGTTACACTCCATTTCTGTTAATAGCTTAGTGTTTGTAGTGGCAACAGTTTTGTTGAAGAACTCCATTATAAAGAAAAAAGATGAATATCCTACTATCTCCTCTTATCCCCAGTTTCAGTCACCCACAAACACAGTACTAAGACCTATAAATTCTCTAGAAGACAACACTTCAAAGACAACAGAAATATACTGCAAGGATTTCTAAGGCCACTCAGTTGTTTTCAGTTATTTGTGAAAAAATAGTTTCCCCAGACTGTAACTCTCCTAAGATCCAATTTTAAAACTGAAAGAACAATCAACCAAAAGTTATGCAACAGATACAGCTTTTCAATTCTAATTGAATTGGAAAATTTATTATTGCCATAAAAAAAAACAACACTGAAGCCAGCAGGAATAAACACAACATTAAATGGTTCTGCAGAGATTTACCCTAATGATGGCTGATCTCAGAAGAGTTTACTGCATTAAAAACTGATTTATTCAGAGTAGATTAAGTTTTTCACAAGAAAAAAAGATAGTCCTTGAATCCTGAAACGCAACATGAACTACAGGAAAAAGCTAGAAATCACTGTTTTACAGGAGAATATACTCTGTAGATCATGGAAGTTTCTTCAAGAAAAGTGGTTTTTTGTTTTTTTGTTTTTTGTTTTTTTTTTTTCCCCCAAGAAGGCAGCCAAGTGGCATGATTAAAAATTGAAGACAAGAATCAAAAATATTTTGATGAACTACAGTGACTTTTGACTTCAAGCCCTAGCACCTCATCTCAATGACAGCAGAAAATCTGTATTTCAATCTTCCTCACTTACTGTAACCTTGTTATTGTAAGAATCACAATTATATCCACTTTCTTACATAGAAACACAAAAAACTTATATGAACATAGTAGATTTTGCTATGAATGCTGAGAGAACTGCAAACTGCATTGATCCCAAATTTATTTGGTTCAAAAACAGAACAAAATCCATATATATATATGCCTCCAGAATTATTCTAGATAGAGGATGCCCTCAGACTAGTTTCATTAGATTTCTGCCTTTCCTACAGCATTAAGTTTAAAATCTTTCTTGAAAGATTTTTTTTTTTTTTTTTTAAATCCTGAGCTTTATCAAAGAAACATAATACACAGCACATTTCCACCAATAAGAAAGGAAATTTGAAGAACAGGCCAACCAAAACAAAACAAGCAATAAACCAAAATAAACAAACAAAAAAGCTGTGAGTGATCAGAACTGAAAATTTGATCATTCATTAGAAGAACAGACAAGAGAGGATTTAATTTCTGGTATATATAAAAGATGGTAAAAAGCTGTTGATAAGAACCTGAATATCAAGTTAAAAAATGCACATCATAAAAGAAAGTTCATTTTTTTTAAATCCAAAGTACAATTCCACTGCAGAAACCTACGGGTTTTAAAAGCAATATGTGGGAACTCTGTCTTGCCTAGAGTTCTTACCCAGGACCCAGGTACTGTGGAACAGTCTTCTTTCTGTAAAGAAAGAAAGAAAGGTGGAAGCTTAAGCCTTTCTTTATCCAGATGAGCTGTGTGAAAGCTGCGAATAGGAAAAAAAAAAATCCACAAGTGTATGAGTATAGAATTTTGCTCAGCATTCCTCAAACAAGTTCTACACGTTCCATATGCAATGTGTTGGCTAAATCCGGGGCAGTTGCCCTAATTGTGCCTGTATTGTAATGATAGGCTTGTAAGCATGCAGTATCCAACAGATACTGCTTGCTGTGTAAAAGCTCCTGTACTCGAATCTGCACATGTACAAACAGCCTGTACATTACAGCCAACTCTTTCCAATCTTGTCATGTTTGCACATACATGTATCAGCAGAAAAGCTGATCTACAAGGATAAAACACGTCCATTGTCAAACATTTAACATTTCAGAACACAGCTATCTTTTCTAATGAGTTGGATTTCTCCGTTTAATGTTTGAAATAAAATTTCCAGGCAGGGAAACAAACAAAAAAAAAACCTGCAAAATTTAGCAATAGCCTAAATGTATTTATAAAAATCTCCAATTTGTACTGGAGACTATATTTGTGGTCTCTCTCTATATATATTTCCAATATATGCACATATATTGCATTCACTTATATGTTTTATGAACAGACGTAATGTGCCTTTCTCTTCTGAAAATAAACTGAACGGCAGTTCTTAACAGCAGTTTTGGAATATTTAAAAAATAAAGACAATTTAGTTTTAGAAGATAACATCTTATACTATTACGAACCCAGAAGTTACATCAGTAATCTAATCATTTTCAGCAGTTTGTTGCACAGAGTCATGATATTTCCTTTGTGAAATTCATACTTCTAAGACAGGATTTTAGATTTGTTTACCTTCTTTCCCTTTTATTTTTCTCCTTTTGTTTCTCTCAAATTACTAACTGTTGCTATCTGATTGCATTCATGCTCTTGAAATAGAAGCACATACATAAGCAAGACTAAGATGGCAAAACTGAAGATCTCTTAAGGTGTCCCAGTATGTCAGCACATGCTACTAGTAGCATCCAGTTGTAAGAAGAATGTTCTTTCCAACCAAGCTTAAGGAAAGGAGACAAAACTCTAACAAAAATTCTGTGCTGCAGCTATTGTGAAAGAGAAGTACTGATGGTCACTTGCATCCAAACAGCACAGAACCTGATTCTCATGTTTCAATTAATCCTCAAAACTCATTGCAACATATTATTTTTACAATTGTAGAAATTGGGCCAATAGCTGGCAAACATGCCAATGGCTTCAGGGAGAACCACCGAAGGAGAATTGGTATTGGATGCTAGATTCTTCCTCAGACTAGTAGATCATATTTCATTTGAGAAGGTTTTACTGTACTGAAGGTGTGCATACAGGGACAAAGGGTGTATGTTTTCACATTAGTTTAAAGCTACACTGCACGTTAAGTTATATTCTACATTTTCTGACAACCACAAGGAAACGTGACACTCAGGCCCCCAATAGCACTGAACAAGCCAGCCTAGAAAGTAAGTGAAGTGCACTGCCCTGCCTGAAATGATTAATTTTATTTGGTGGATGTGAGCTAATCTCCTACACAGAGATACAAGTGACACACTGAAACCATTGGATTACAGAAGCCTATGCTTTGCTGGCATTAGGGCTTTTTAGCTCTTCCTAAGCTGATGAGCTAGGACAAGTCTATAGTCAGCTGAAAAGTTATCATATCCTATTACAGATGGCAGAATAAACAAACACCAAAATAAGGAATTACAGATATACCAAAAAAAAAAAAAAAACCATCAATACCATAATTCACTAATAATAGTGAAATAAGAAAATATAGATTAAGCAGAGAAAATGGACCTGCAACCAAAGACATGTTCATTACAAATGCCATCTTCCAAAATTAGAGGTAAGAAAGCGTTTTTTTTTTGTTTTTTTTTTTTTAGAGGCAATTTCTTGAAGCATCTGTTCCCAAAGAGTTGCCTGAATGCCTTCTCCTTGGGCTAAACACACTTCAGAGGATACGAATCCATTTCTTTCCTTTTCTCATCTTTAGTCAGTAAACTGAAGATGCATCAAAGTTGAAAACTTGCAGAGTTCTCCCTCTATGAAGTCATAAGACTTGTAGCTAAGTTGAAATATGACTCTATGTTATTTCTAAGTTCTATTATAACTAGAGCCTCAAGAATTTTTGCTGACTGGAGATAAAATAAGATAAAATCTTACAGAACTGCTGACCACCACCCTAGAAGCAATGCCGTGGTCCAATGTAATAACTGTCTTCTATACTACATCAGGTCTGCACAAATAACTTCAAAAGAGTATACTCCATCCAACTTCATTTATTCCAAAAAATGGTTTAAGTGTTCAGTCACACACACCAGTGTAAAACAGGTGCATAACAGAATAGGAAAAACAACTAAAAAAAACCAAAAAAGCACCACAGAGGTCTGTCTTTATTATTTTTAACATAACTTTATTATGCCTATTTCTGCTGTCTCTTCAGGTCTCTCCTGTTTATTACAGAGACTGCTATAATAGAACTAGTTGCCCTCAGATTTTTCAACAGCTGAAGAGAGAACTGAAACCTAAGCATCTATGCTATCACTCCAATTAGCAGCAGGTTCTTTAAGAGTCAACAACTTTAAAAGTGGGGATAAAATCTGTTGTGGATTTATTTTAACACACACAAAAAAAAAAGCCAAGATAAGTGGTAGAAGAAAGGAAGTGATTTTCCACGCTATTTTCAATGAGTCTAAAAATTTTTCTATATATCAGAGCTAAGAAAATCAACCATCTCACTGTGTTAAAACAAATAAATCTGTTGAACTTTACTAAATTGGCATACTATAGAAAGAAGCTGAACTTGTCTGGACTAGGCTTTTTTTTTTTTAATAAAGTTTTTGGTTCATCTCTAGATGGTTTAGCACCCTGGGTTGATAATGCTGTTTATTCTACCTCATTCTGTTATTTCTGTTCTCTTTATTTCCAGGAACTATACTAGTTTTTATACTGGAAATAGAAAGTTAGGATTCTATTGCCCAAATGAGAATGTTAATATAACCTGAATTTGTGACTCCTTCAGTGTCTTTCTTTTCTTTTCCTGATGGTCCAGTACTGGAGGAAAAAAAAGATAACAATTTTATGGGTCAAGTTTGCCACATCCTGATATGCAAATGTCTGGAGTTTGATACTTCTACACAGTGCTTGACCTTTTTATACAAAAGCTTAGCCAGACCACAAAATAGGAGATGCATATATTGCTTTTGTTTCAGGCTTCAAACAGAATTAGCAGCAAAAAGAAAAAAAAAAAAACCTTCAGCAAGAATAATTCTTCATAGAAAGGGATAAATAGTCTTCACTGCCCTGAAATATGAGCCTGCTATTCACTAAAGAGTAAGTCTAGGGAGATGGAGTGAGAGTCTTCACAAGTATATCCATGAATATGCTTATGTAGGGACTGGAAGCCAGTCAGCTTCTCTAACTCTTTAAAGTTGGAAAGATTATTAAAAACAAAGATTTTCCATTTCAAATGAGAATACTAAATAAAAGAAATCACAAAGCTAATGTCCAGTGATTTCATTATGTTTTGAGAGTTTAAGTAAAAAGATTTTGGTATGATGGATTTTAGAAAAAAAAATAAATCTGTCTTTATAGTAATATGAGTATTTGAAACAAAGCAAGTAATTTAACATTTGAGATTGTGATGTTATCTGTAATTTTGGGTTTTTGAATATAACAATCAACATATCCTCTAAATTGAAAAAAATATGTATTTAAAATCTGTATTTTCTATATAACTTTATGCCTGTCACGCATTTGTTTACTCACTGCTCACACAGAAATGACAATGTTCTGCTAGTATTTTACTAACAATCTATAAAAGAGCAAGAGAGAAAGACATACCATTGCTCAGCCATACACCCAGAAATACAAAAGGTAACTCTTCCTAAACAAGACCTATCCATTTCAGTCATTTATATTTTAGAAAGAATGAGAAACTTGTACATTATAGCCAAGGATTTTAAGTTCCACCACAAAATTCCACTTACATAAATCAGTCTTTTTATCCCTGCTGTTTGTGATAGAAGTAAGAAAAGTCTGTAAATCTTGATCAACTTCAGTTGTACAGAATTTGCAACCACACAGCTCAGGCAATATTTTTCCTGGAACATTAAAGTTGGTGCTACTTTTCAAAGCAGTTGAATATAAAATAACAAAGAATTATGTTTTTTTTTTTTTTCCCCTTGTTCCTCCCCCTCCCCCAAAGTATAAATCATTATCAAAATTGAAAATGCAGAATGATCATTAGGCAAAATTTATATTCTGTTCTGCTGTATTCTCATAAAGTCTGCTTTGTAGAAACTGGATGTAACACCTGAACTTGTCCAGAAGCTTACTGAGAATTATTTTAATCAACATTCATAAGAAAACTAGGAGTAACTTAAAATGAATCTAGTTTCCTTAGACCCTGTATTTTCAGCTCTTAAGCTGTTGTAAGATGTCACATCAGAAATGTAGCAAATAATAAAGAAAGTCTTCATCTTTCTACCACTGACTTGGCAAAGCAGAAAGTACATACTAGCACTTATCACAGATCCATCCCCGGAGATGAACAAGTCCTAAGAAATGCAGCCAAACATCTATGCTAGCTCTACTTGGGGAAAAGTGTTGGTGGGAGAGAGAACATAATGTCCTCCCTATGTCTATTCAGCCCTAAAATATTCTATGACAGCTTTAATTGAGGTCGCTTGCCAAGTATCAAAGAGGAAAAACAATAAAAAGCCTTTCAAATTTAAATGAGTATATGGGTAAAGCATTTTTTAATGAACATTAAGAACACAGATTAGAGCAAAACTACTTTTAGTCTCAGTAGGATAAGGAGGAGGAGTGCAAGTGTGCTATCGTCTCTTCCCCAAAACCATATTTTGTTCTTAAAGAAGTAGTGGCTTCAAGCAAAACAATGGAAGCCTATCCAAGAATCGTAAAGTCTGGATTCAAAATATTAATACTTGCTCTGA